GAGAAGGTAATATTACCTCACAGAGAAGGTAATATTGCCTCACAGAAAAGGCAATATTACCTCACAGAGAAGGTAATATTACCTCACAGAGAAGGTAATATTACCTCACAGAGAAGGTAATATTACCTCACAGAGAAGGTAATATTACCTCACAGAGAAGGTAATATTACCTCAGAGAAGGTAATATTACCTCACAGAGAAGGTAATATTACCTCACAGAGAAGGTAATATTACCTCACAGAGAAGGTAATATTACCTCACAGAGAAGGTAATATTACCTCACAGAGAAGGTAATATTACCTCACAGAGAAGGTAATATTACCTCACAGAGAAGGTAATATTACCTCACAGAGAAGAGGTGTTATTATAGACAAAGCTTTGCCTTGGATGATCTTTTCCAAGTTTACTGAGAGAGGCATTAAAACTCGTATCAGTAGAAATGAACAGGAAGGAGATGGGAAAGAAGTTGATGGAAACCTTGGTGATGTAGGGTACTAGGAGGCGGAGGAGAAGATGAACGGGGAATAAGAAGGGACGTAGGAAGTGAAGGAAGCCTATTTTCTATACACATATTTTTTTTACAACAGTTTTGAGGGCGCACGCATATTATTAGCATAAGTAAAAGTTTGTGAAATTTATCCAAAGATATAGCAATAAAGTTAAGCAATGTGATGTATTTTAACTGTTAGAGTTGTTAGTCTGGATTCTGAGGACAAGTGAGCACCTGAGTGTGACTCATGCGCAGCACCTGAGGACAAGTGAGCACTTGACTGTGACTCATGCACAGCACCTGAGGACAAGTGAGCACTTGACTGTGACTCATGCACAGCACCTGAGGACAAGTGAGCACTTGACTGTGACTCATGCACAGCACCTGAGGACAAGTGAGCACTTGACTGTGACTCATGCACAGCACCTGAGGACAAGTGAGCACTTGAGTATGACTCATGCGCAGCACCTGAGAAGCCTCACTGAAAAATATTTCGTCTGCGCATCATGCTTGTCTAATGTGTAATAAGGGCATGATGGTTGAGAATTTTACAGCGGATCCAGTGGATGAAGTGTAGAGATGAAGCAGTTGTAGACGTGAACAGCAGGAAGCAGTATCACAAATATTGATGACATTGGTAAATTTTTCTGTGTTCCTGGATGTTTTAATCACAGGATCAACTATATATTTCACTCCCCAACCGCTTTGAGAGACTAAATTCTACTGACGGCTGTTACCATCCCTGTGTCTTTCATCGCTACATATTGTTTCGTCTACATCTTCCATGGAAATGCAGAGTGAAGGAAGAAGGAAAATAACATGAGATGTACGCAATGAGATATAATGTAGCGAAGCAGAAGAACAGAAACAGATATTGAGTGGAAAAAAAGATGCACAATTGGTCATATAGAGACATACATGAAGGAAACGCAAGAGTCACAAAAGTATAAACGAAGAGTAAGCTAAAATAAAAAACAAAAAAGCTAAAGAATGGGTAAGGATATGCAGAGGTAATTGGATGTAAATGAACTTGAGCGGCAGAAACCCGTAGAATTTAGCAGTTGCCTCACTGACCACCTCTTGAGGTCAAAAGTTTGTGAGGTTTGTGAATATTTGTGAGGTTTTTGTTTCTATGCTGTACCAGCTAGTATGATATACAAACACTTCCCGCAGAGTAAAAGCTCATAATTTTCAACATCTCGCTCTGAGTAGAACTTCATCTGTCTCTAAAATTCTACCCAGCGAGAGACATCGACTTCAAGTTTTGCTCTACTTCAAGTTTTTAAGCGTATGCTAGCTTCCTTCATGCTGATTATTCACTGTCACTGAAAATAAGTTACAAGTGAATAATTTTCTTCGCGTATATTTCTGAGGACCATATTCTATTTTCGCACTAGTAC